TTACCTCCTACCAGGAAATGTGATGTACTCTGTACTCAGGTCTAAGCAGCCAGATCAGTCATTTCTCCTCCCAGGAAGGAGTACAGGTAGGAAGAGGCAGAAGCTTTACCCTCCCCACTCGAGCTTTTGTCGGGTTCTCAAAAAGTGTAACTTCCTAGTTTCACACAGTGGGGGGACTTTCAGCACATGGGGAAAGCTGGGAAACAGTTTCAGAGAGGGCGTCTCATGTCCTGAATGTACCCAGGTTCTGAAGTTGGGTCCAGCTCAGAATCTCGTAGTTGTCGTGCATCCCAAGTCCTCTTACCAACATGAGCCTTAGGCCCCTGTGGTGAAAGGGGGTGTGGGACCCTCAGCCACCTTGGAGACCCTGAGGGCAGAAGGGAGCTCCTACTCATTCCTGACTCCCAACTTCCTGAGGTGGGAACAACAGTGATAATAGTAAGTGGTATGGCAGGAGGAGCACCCAACTTGGAATCCCAACCCTTGTGTTTAAATCTTGGCACGGCCACTTGCGTGACCTCGAACGGGTTGCTTCATCTTGGGTTCGTACCTGTGAAGTTGGTGTAGGTTGACGAGATGTAAATAATGTCTCTGAAAACTAGCCTGGAGCCCGGCACACACCCCCAGCTGTGCCCATTCCTGGCTCTTCCTCCCTCTGCAGAGCAGCCCCGGCGCCTTTTCCTCTTCGGGTGCGTGTGGGGCACGCATGGGCAGGAAGCCCAGGTGGGGAACTGCTGGGGCTTGCCAGGCTCTGGGGAAGGGACAGAGGCTGTGCCTCAGCTGGCACAGGCTGGCACCTGCCACTCCTCTCGGTCTACGTCTGGCCGTCTCAGGAGGGGCTTCTGCCCAGCTCTGTGTAAGATAGTGTCCATTTCTCTACCCTCCCCGTTCCCACTGGGTCCTGTTATCCCTCACACAGACACCTCTCTTAGACACAGAGGGGGGCACAGGAGCACGACGGACTGGGCTCTGCCCTCAGACTCACAGGTCTGAGACACAGAGAAGTTGGCCCCAAGGGCCTATTTTTTCACCTGACCCTTAGAGAACAGACAGGGTTTACTAGAGAAACCGATTTTGCCACAGAGGTGGGGAGACATGAGGAGGGCGTGGCTGGAGTAGAGAGGGCCCACTGAAGGCAGGAGAGACAGGCCTGAAGAGGAACTGACCAGTGGGAGCTCTTTGTTCTGCGCAGAGCAGTGGAGGAGCCGGGGGGTGGACTGCGTGTCCTTTATCCACCTCCACCCTGCATGGCTTAGGGTCACAACACACCACTGATGATGATGAGGATAACAGCCAATCAGGTGACTGAGAGCTGGCACTCAGCCTGAATTATCTAATTCCTACAAAAGTCCACAAGATAAACACTGTTAGTATCCTGGTTTGTCCACAAGGAAATGGCGAGTTCCTTGCCCAGGGTCTTCACGCAGAGAATGGCCAGAGCTGCATTGAATCTCATTCATTCAGGATGCCGTAACGAAACACCACAGACTGGGCGCTAATAAACAATAGAAATCTATTTCTTACTGCCTGGAGGCCGGGAGTTCAGGGTCATGGTGCTGGCAGAGCGGGCATTCGTGAGGGCTCCCTGGTGCATGGACCACCCTCTTTACCATGTGTCCTCGCTTGTCGGAAGGGGCAAGACCTCTCTCTGGGGCCTCTTTCATAAGGGAATTAATCCCACTCATGGGGGCTCCACATTCGAACCAGAGCAGACTTAACTCTATTCTGTTACCTCCTGAAGGTTAGAGGTCATTTATGCCTGGGGAAGAATGGGATTAGGAAAGACATGAGAAAGAAGGATATGCTGAGTCTTAAAAAACGAGTGGGTTGGATCGGGTGGACAGATGTGGGAAGGCCACTGGAGATAGTGCAGCGTGCACAGAAGCACGGAGTCCCGAATTAGCAGGTGGGGACTTCAGACAGGCTGGGATGGAGCTGGAGTGGCAGGCAGGGCTTCCTGGCTGGGCAGCTCAGATCTGTGGGCAGTGCTAATGAGGTCTGCTTTGGATCTAGAAAGATCACTCTGGCAGAGTGGAAGGGGGTTGGGGGGGCAGAGGCGGCCCATTCTAGGTACTGATTACATGTTTGTTGACTAAATGGGTGGAATTTAGTGACTATTTATTGAGTACCATTTATGTTCCGGTCACTCCATCTGGCTCCGGGCTGTCAAGACAGATACTGCAAGTGGCCAGTCATTAGGATAGTCCAATTAAAAGGTGATGAGGCCCGCACTTCTGAGGGATTTGGGAGGAAGGGGTGCGTCTGTGGGATTCTAAGAAGATAGAATCAAAAGGACTAGAGGACCAGTAGGACAGGGCGGGCTGGAGAGATGAAAACGAATCTGAAGTCGATTCTGAGGTTTCTGGCTTGTGGAGGAGAGCGAACACAGGCGACGGAGCAGCTCTGGGAGCCTGGGAAGAGTTCAGGTGTCGGAACACTGAGGGCCGGTTGGATGTGGCATGTGCACCCCTGTGCCAGAATTCTCAGGGAACATAATTTCCACATCTGCAACATTTATAGACATGTTTCATTTAACTAAATCTGTATGGTAAACTTGGAATTTTTTTCAGGTTTTACAATATGTAAATAACACTGTAATTAACAGCTTTTTACAAAGATCTTCACCCTTCTCATGACTTTTAGGAGAGCAACTTACAGTCATTGAGTATAAACAGCCTTAGGGCTTTCGGTTCATACTCGGGTTGCTTTCTGGAAAGGTTGTGGCAAACTGTACTCCTGCAGCCGTGGGGGGGGGCCTCGCCTCCGCACACCACCACGAGCACCGAGTTGTGTGCGCGCGTGGGCACGCTCACACACAGATACACGGGTGGGCAAAGGTAGGTTTTCCGTTGTGAGTGCGCAAAACCCAGTATACTCCTGTATTATCTCTTATTGTATTATTTTCCATACAAACAAACCGTAAACCTACTTTTGCTCACCCTGTGTTTTAGAGACAGTATTTAGTTATTTTAATTTGCATTTTTATCACTATTGAGTTTTTCATGTATACTAACCTTTTATATTCTTTTCCAATTTTTATGGGGTGTCTTTTTTTTGTGAGTTCTTAAAGTATGTATTTTTATTGTGACAAAATTTTTCCCACTTTTTTTGTGTCCTTCCTAATTTTGCTTATTATATTTTTGATGCACCTAAGCACTAAAATGTTTACAAATTCGAAATGTGTTTACCTTTCCCTTTACTTCTCACAGAGCAGTGATGCTCCAGAAGCTTGATGATAAGCGGGGATAGGATGGGCAGACAAGGACCAAGGGAACAGTTGGGACAACTGTGATAGAATGACAATAAAATGATAATGAAAATGAAAAATAATAATAAAATAGATACATGTCTAAATCTTCTTTTAGTTTTTTGTTTTTTTTTAAAGCAGGAGAAGCAGTAAATGGACCTTTGCTTTCTAAATAGCAAATTTTTAAACATTCTTGCTGGGAAAACCCTCTCCTCCCCTGAGGTGACTGATGCCGCCTTCACCACGAAGCCAGGCACGCGCATGCGCACAGCCGCTCTGCCCCGGGCGGCCGTCTGGAGTCATCGAGCTTCGTGGTGGTTCTCATCTATGTTCTAATGATTGCAGATTTATACTATAGTCTAATACCTAATTTTTTAAATTGGAGGGCCATTTTTAACTGTTAAATACTTGGATGGGTTTTTAGAATCCTTTTGGTAAATTTCAAAACAAAAACCCTATTCAGATTTTTCTCAGAATTGTATGAAGCCTGCACCAACCTGGCAGGAAGTGGCATTTTGTTACTGTTCAGCCTCTGATCCAAGGTATGGCTTGTCTCCCATTTTTTCAAGTCGTTTTTTACATCTCTCAGTAAAGGGTTGTGGCTTTTTTATAAATTAGAGGTCCCACATATTTAAATTTATTGATCAGTATTTGATTACTCTTCTTTAGGACTGCAAATAGGATTTCTTTTGTGTGAAAGCTGGCAACTTTCCTGTTGGAGCACAGACCCTGTTACATAAGTATTGTACCCACTGAGTTCAGTGGGTTCTTTTAGGTTTTCTAGGCAAATAACAAACTCCCTGGATATAGCAGGTTGGCGTCCCTGGCTTGGTAATGGCTCCTGCCTGCAGGATTGGTCTGTGGCTTTCTCCAGCAGTAGTCAGGAGCCCAGTTGTAAGAGAGGATGAATAGATTGGTCCCAAGTTCAGGTCTTCCCTGGGCTGAGGCTGTAGAAGGGCAAAGGGCGGGGAGTTGAGGGAGCTCACAGGGAAATAGCCCAAGTGGTGTGCTTCAGGGTCTGGACCAGAAAAGCAGGGCCCAGGACTAGGGGAAGGGAGAGGGTGAGGAGAGGCAGCTGTGCCCCTGGAAAGCACGCTGGGGTGTCAGGTTTCAGAGCGATGCCTTTCCATTGTGGCGCCGAGGTCGTTGAAGGAAGAACGGTCCCCTATTTGCAGTTAAAGAAACTGAAGCTCAGAGGGCTTGTCACTTGACCAAAGTCACCCAACTCTAGTCAGCGGCAGACCTGGGATTTGAATGTTGTTCTGGGTTGCCGTGTAGCTCACGTTCTGTCTTTATTTTTCAGGTTCACTTTAGAACAGTTGACTGAGAGCCAGGAGACACAGCAGAAGGGAAAGGAGAGGAGCCCAGCAGAGCAGATAGGAGAGAGAGGGCAGGCTCCTCTGGGCCCCGCAGCAGCTGCCAAGGGGCGGGGGATAGCTGGGCTGTTGGTTCTTCCTGTGGACCCCTCAGTGCCCCCCCCTGTGCCCCTGCCATGCAGCTCTCTCTGGATCCTCCATCACGCACTGGAGCCTAACCCCATGCTGCCTTCCCACCCCGTCTCTCTCACACACTGTGCATCCCGGCACACCGAGGCCTCCCTCTGCCATCCTTGTGTGTCCCACACGCCCAGCTCCAGCATCACTTCATGCCCTGTACCTTACTTCTCATTCACCTGGAAACGCTGTGGGTCCCTGCCACTCAGCCCATCACGAGCTGCAGGCCCAGCTCACACTCACCTGTCCTGTGCCCACAGAGTGCGTCGGATGGCTTCTGGAAGTCTGTGGCCACTCGAGTGCCCAAGGAGCCCCCTGAGATTCGTATCCTCAACCCATATTTCATCCAGGAAGCCGCCTTCACCCTCATCGGACTTCCCTTCAACAACGGCCTCATGGGCCGTGGGGTGAGATGTTGGGGCCCCAGGAGAAGGAGGAGGGGTCCCTGGGTCTGAGGGACTGCGGGAAGGAAGGATGGGGCAGCAGGGTGGGAGCAGAGGGCTCAGTCCTCGGGAGTGGAGCTCAGCTCCGGGGAGCCTGGCTGAGGAGCTCAGCCTCACTCTGCCCTCCCCTCCTCCAGAACATCCCGACCCTTGGCAGTGTGGCAGTGACCATGGCACTACACGGCTGTGATGAGGTGGCAGTCGCAGGCTTTGGCTACGACATGAGCACGCCCAATGCACCCCTGCACTACTATGAGACCGTGCGCATGGCAGCCATCAAAGAGGTGTGGGGGCAGGGCCGACGGAGGGGGCATTTCCAGCGCGAGGACAGGCTCTGTGTTCACAAGCAAATGGTAAAAGGAGGAGCCAGTGGCTGCTGTGGCCGCCCAGAGCTCCAGCAGGGCGCTACCCACCCCCCCAGCTGAGTTGGGACACTGGAGATCTGTCCCTGCCTGTGGACCTCTCTGACCACAAATCATCCTGTGCGCCCACCCACCCCAGACTCCCCATGACCCCAGAGTTTCCTTCCTGAACTCGCCCTCCCTGGCCCTCCCCCTGGCCCTGCACCTGCCTCCTCCTCGCTGTCCCCCAGCCATCCTACGCTAACTCTGGCACCAGCTTAGAGCATCCTCTCTAACTCAAGTCCTGTCTTCCTCCCAGAGGACTTCCTTGCCCCCTAGGACGACCCGCAAATACGGTCTGGGTCTCAGGACACCTCCCGTAGCTCCGCCCCCCTTCCCTGTGGCCAGGTGGCAAATCTCCCTGTCAGTCCTTCCCAGGCGACCCATGTGCTCAGGCATTTTAAAGTTTCAGGATCATCACAGCTCTCCAGACTGTCAGCAGCCACTCCCTCATCTCCCCCCTCCCAGCAGGAGCCACGTGGACAATCTGACCCCTCACCACTCCCTTCACTTCTGCCACTAGCCTCCCCTGCTGCCTGTCTGGGCCTCAGACATCGTGGGCTAGGCACTAAGGAGCTTCCCTGCCCCTGCACTGGCGTCAGGGGGTTGTTGGAGGGACCTCCATCTGTGCAGGTCACAGCACTGCTGCGAACTCAGGGGCGCTCCTCAGCCAACTCACCTTCCTATGCTCCAGTCTTCGTGTGCCCTTCCCCCATCCCCGCCGCACTGGTCCAAGGCCTTACACTCCCTGAAAGCTGCCACTACCATCTCCGCCTCCAGGCAGGACACAAGCTGCAGTGGGGACTCTGGCAGCTCCTGTGAGGTTGTCCCCTTTGCATTCCTCACTCCCGCATGGCCCTTCGCCCCCTGTAGCCTGGCTGCCCCCTTCACCTGACCCAACTCCCACCAAGGTCACCAGTGACTTACCTCAAGGCTTCCAACCCAATGGACACATGTAGGTCTCGCCTTTCCCGATCTCCCAGAAACACTTAAAAATACTTATTTATTGTTAGAGGGGAAGGGAAGGAGAACAAGAGGGAGAGAAACGTCAATGTGAGAAAGAAACGTCCATCAGTTGCCTCTTGGCATGTGCCCCAGCTGGGGACCGAGCCTGCAACCCAGGCCTGTGCCCTGATCAGGAATCAAACCGGGACCTTTTGCTTTGTGGGACAACACCCAACCAACTGAGCCACGCCAGCCAGTGCTCTCAGAAACACGTTTTATGTGGACCACCCCTGCCTTTCTGAAACTTTCCCTGTGTAGACATCTGAATCAGTAATTTTTAGTGTTCCTCTGATTTTGCTGGCCAGGTCTCTTGTTCTCTGTGTCCTCGATTTCAGTCCACCCCTTAAGAGCCAGCATTGGCCAGGGCTCCACCCTAGACAGTCTTCCCTGTCACTCACGTTCTCCCGGACACTGGCTTCCCCCGTCCGTGGCTTCAGTTACCACTGAGCTTGCTTGGGGCTTTTCTGGTTCGTTCAGGCCGCCTTCAGTAATTGGAAGTCATTTCAAGGGTGTATGAAAGACTTGGAACTCTCATGGGAAACCAGAAACAGCCTTCCAGCTGGGCCTCCGTTGCCTGCACTGGGGTGCAGGACAGCTCCAGCACCCGCAGCGGCTCTGGCTGTGACCCTGGCAGGGTCACTTACTGCCGTGACCCTGTCTGTCTCTGTCTGTCATGATGTATCTTCCTGCTCTTTTGTCCCCTGCCTGCTCCAAACTGTTCTCACACCTTTTGCCTGCCTCCCAGCCTCTGTTTACTATGCATACATCTGCTCTCTGACACATTATTTTTACGTGAACTTGAGAGACAGTAGACGCAGGCAGGCAGTTACCAGGTCATGAAGGGCTTTCTCTGCCGTGGGGAGGAGCTGGGACTTGGCTCTGCAGGCTGGAGGGATCCGCAGAAGCAGGAGCATTTTCCGCCAAGGATTAGCCTGTGGTGGGCTTCCTGTGGCTGCAGCAGAAATCGGCGGGGTGCAGGGCAGGACTAGAAACTAGTTAGGAGGCCGTCCCAGCAATCTAGGCCAGAGACAAAGATGCCGGAGCCACAGCCCAGCAGGAGCCCAGGCCAGAAGCACAAGTTGTCAGCATAGCTGCAGGTGCAGAGACAGGCAGGACAAGGTTTCCCAGGGAAACGGTGGACCAGGAAGTGCAGGTCCTCAGGGCAGCGCCCGGGAATGCCGATGCTGAATGGCGGGGTGAGGGGACAGGAGCCAGGGCCAGAGACGCAGGCAGAAAAAGGGCTGCCAGAAGGAAGGTTCTTCCGAGCATGTGGCCTGTGAACGGGATGGACATCCGCGTCCGGAATCGGGGGTCCTGGTGGGGCTGGGGACCCAGAGACACAGTGTGGAGAGCTCCACCCAGCTGTCCTGCCACCTGAATGGGAGGAGGAATCCGGGAGAGCCCCAGAGAGGCGGCACTGTCCAGGCTGAGGGAGCTGCACCCCAGGTGACTCTGTTTACTCTTATCATGAACAGTGTCAGACATCGTCACAGACAGAGCAATACTGCAAACCCCCAGGTGGCTGTCACCTGCCTCCCCCAGCCGCAGCCCGTGGCTGGTGCTGTTCCATCTGCTGCTTCCTCTCATACCCCCCCCCCACTGATTATTTGCAAACAGGTCTCAGATACCGTATCATTTCAGCCACAAATATTTCAGTAAGTTTCTCAAAAATATGACTGTTTTCTACTATCATATTACCACTATCACACCTAGAAAAATAATTCTTTAATATCATCAAGTACCCAGTCCTCTGCTGACCTTTCACCGCCAGTGACTCCCAGCCTGGAAGCTGACCCATCGGACTGGTTACTTCCTCCTGGGGGGGCGGGGGGTGGGGCGACAGGTAAAGAGCTGCCTGGCTTTCTCCCTGAGCTTGGATCCTGGTGCTGCCATCCCTCCGCACCCCCACTGTCTCACCTGCAACATCTCATGTCATTCAGCACATTTATTGGGCACCTGCTCTGTGCCACATTGTCCCTGCCTTCAAAGAAAGTGAGGCAGATGCTTGAGTTTTTAAAGAACAAGGACAGATCACCCAGGGGTCTGCAACAGGAGGGGCAACTCGCCCACGGCAGAGTTCAGTGACAGGCTGGAGAGAGCTGACTGGATCAGAGTACGGACCGGTCGGAACTGGGAGTTCTTCACACTGCCAGGCAGTGGCCGTTACTGTCGCCGTGGCTGCGGCTGAGGCTCAGCGCGGACAGGTGCTACGTAGTGGTCAGTTGGCTACAGACTATGTATCCAGTTGTGTGATGAGTATCAGTGCAAGACTATTGATATTCACCCATTCTTTCAAACCTTTTTCATTCTTTGACTTAGTCACCAAAGCTTGCTGGTGGCTACTGGGGAGAGGAAAGAACCCAAACCTGGGCACAGTCACCCCGAAAGAGAAGGCAGCAGCATCTTCCCTGCGATTTCCATACTAACCGTGAAATGAGCCTGTTGCCCTCTGGCCTCCTGGCTCCTCTGACTGAGAGGCAGGATTTCATCAGCTGCCCGCAGGCCTGGAGTAGTGGATTGCATCAGGCTGGAGAGTGACTAAGTCCCACAGGGCTCTCTGCAGCAGGGCCCACCCCCCAGGCCTGGGCCAGACCTCAGTGACTCACACGGCCTGTCCGCGGTGCCTAGGACCTAGGCGTCCCGATGTGCTTCTGGGCAAGGAGGGGTTAAAGTCTTTGGGGACAAGGCTGGAAAGCCTTCATCTCCTAAGATTGCAAGGAGAGGCGCAGTTCTGGGTTGGGAAAAGGAGTCAGGAGGTTGTATTTTCCCAGCCCCGTGATGAGAAGAGGAGGAACTGGGACGCAGAGCGTTGGACAGTGGTGGTCAGAAGAGGGCACTGGGCTCTGGGAAGCGCACTGTGGTGGGGCTGCGTCCCGGCAGCCACCCAGGCTGCCCTGCTGACCACTCCTCCATCTCTTTCCTTCCAGTCCTGGACACACAACATTCAGCGAGAGAAAGAGTTTCTGCGGAAGCTGGTCAAAGCTCGTGTCATCACTGACCTAACCAGTGGCATCTGAGATGTGCCCAGCACAGAGCCACGGAGGTCCTGGCACTGCCAAGAGCAAGCAGCAGCCACCACCACCTGCCCACTTCGCTGGCCTTGGTCTGGCTCTGCCTGAGAGGCACGGGAGTCCTCAGACCCAGGGAGGGGCTGTGCCGAGTAGCCCCAGGGGTGGCGAGGCCTTGGCAGGGCAGCCAGAGCTGTGTCTGCTCAGTCCAGCCTCAGAGACCAGCATTTGGCCTCACTCTCGGCCTGGATCCTTGAAGCCAGGGCTTGGGAGGCCCCAGCCATGGCCAGCAGGCCAGCATGCAGGAGGTGGACGTTAGGCAGCAAGGCGGCTGCCGGAATTATTTCTCCAATCAGTGTTTGGTGTATGATCATTTTGTGAATTTGGGGGGGAGGGGAGGGATAATTTATTTTTAGATAAGGTTGGAGATGTCGTTTGGTCCACTTGCTGTGCAGAAAGAGGCCCAGTAGAGGGCCCGTCAGGCAGTGGTGCCAATGGGCCCCCCCCACAGAGTGGGGGTGCCGCAACTAGCCAGTGCTCTGCTCCGGAGCTACGGGGAGGGACGTGGGATCTCATGCCAGCCGCCTTCAGCTCCTGACACTGTTTGGCCTTTCTTGGGGAACAGATGGGGTACTCCCACACGCCAGCCCCTGACAGTCCCCCAGGGGAGCCCTGGAGCCACCCTTCAAGCCAACAGGACAGCCTCTGGACAGGAGCACAGAGAGCTTCAGAGCTCGGGGTGAGGCCGGGCCTGGACCGACCAGCTTGGCCGCTGTTCTGGGCTTCAGCAGTGAGACTGCCAGGTCCTTGGGTTCTGCCTTCAGCCTGGACCAGAGCAGAGTGAGGCTTAAGGACCTCACCCAGGCTGCGGCAGTCAACCACGGAAGCAATAAAGCTCTTCCCTAAACCTGGTCTCCTGTTGCTTTCTCTTCCTTTCCTGGAAGAAACAGGAACCCGGGGCCTCAGCAGCTGTGCCAAACCCCTCATTCCAGTTCACTGCCTGCGTCAGCTGCAGGACCCGGGCAGCCAGCCCCCTACGGGCCTTCTGGGCCCACTCTCATCCCGCACAGCCCTGCACCCCCTGCCTTGAGAGGTGGACCGGGGTGCTGGGCCTTCCCGAGTCTCCCCTGATGCCTCGTAAAGGGGCCAGAGGGCAGGGTTGAAGCCCACAGTCATAGGACAGTGCCTCTGGGTAGCCACAGCCCCCGTGCTGCAGGGACAGATTCCTGCAGGCGCAGGGGAGATACCCTGCCGAGCCCTGCAAAAGGGCCCTTAGCACAGCAGGGTCTCCTTGCCCCCAGCGCGCTCTTCTCATTCCATAGGAGGGCTTGGTGCAGCTCCGGGCACTCGAACATTAGCAGGGGTGTCTCTCCCCACCTCACCTCCTTAGAGCCCTGGAGTCTGATTCCTGGCCCCCTTCTCCAGCACCCCCAGGCAGGCCTGAGAATGGGCCAAACACATGCCAGCACCTGAGGCATGGAGTGAGCTTCTAGGCAGAAGCTCCACCTTGGCAGTGTGGGACCGATTGGCCCCTCACCTCACCTGCCATCCCCATCTAAGAGTCCTGGCCATCCCAAGGACCGCCAACTTCCCACGTGTCCCCTTAATCCTGTGGTTCATCCTCAAGCAGAAGCCTCCTCAGCTGAGGGGAAAGCAAGTTCCTGACTGAGGGACAGGCAATGCACTTCAATGCACACTATTCTGTGTGAATAGCACCCCCTGGAGTTGTACAGGGCACAGGCTGCATGTCCGCAAGGCACAGCCATGGCTGATAAAGCCCCGGGGAAGCCACCCAAATGGGCGGACAGTTGTGGGAGGCAGCAGACAGTGGAGCTGCTGGCCTCCTGCCCCACAGGGGTCCTTCAAGCCTGGAGACAGTCCCCCCTGCAGCCTGGCTTGTCCTCTAACCCAGTGCACAGAAACTGCTCTAGAGAACACTGGTTCTCAGCCCTGGGTGTACACCGGAACCACCTGCACAAGATTTGGAATATGGCACGTGCCAACACCAAGACTGATTCAGGTCTGGGGTGGGGTCCGGATGTGGGTAGTTTTAAAGGTCCACAGGTGGTTCGAGTGCACGGCCAGGACATAGCCGGTCCACACACGTTCCCTGAGCACGTCGTTTCCGCCCACGATTTGCAGTTGTCCACTGCCATCCCAGCCCAGCTCTCTCCACTTCACTCCAGGCTTCAAACTCGGCTGCACCCTGAACTTCCCCACCAGGATAACCCACAGGTCCTCCCCACTCCACATGTCCGTTGCTGATCTCATGAGCTCCTGCCCCTCCTCCAGGGAGCCCTCCCCACCAGCACACATCCCCGCCACCTGGTCGTCCGGGCCAGAGGCAGGCCACTGCCCGCCCTGCTCCTCACACCACGCCCTCAGACACCTGCGGAGCTCCTACAAGGCCGAGGTCCTGAGACGGCCTGTAAGCGGAGTGCCCCCCACTCTCCCCCCACTGCTTCCCACTCCGCTCACCCAGCAGCTTCCTGACATCCCCACTGCAGCCAGTCAGGGAAACGGGTGTCTGACACGCCACTCCCCTGCCCGAAACACTGGTCCCCACTGTCAGATGAAGTCCAGGCTCCCTGGTACGACACAGCACCTGGCCTTTCTGTACCTCTACCCGAGTTACTCGCCCAACCTCCACCCCACCTGCCAAACTGCCATAATTAGGCTCCTGAAATACTACCCTCCAGCTCCTACTCAAACAAGAGTGCAATGTCCCTCCTCCCTGACCTCCCCTGCGGGCCATCCCGACTTCTTCAGCCCTGGGCTCCTACTCCTCCAGGCACTGCCCTCCCTGCGCCGGTGAGCAGTGGTGTGCACAGGTGTGTCTACTCCTAGCCCCAGGTGGCGAGGGAGGTGGGGTGTGGGACAGCTGGAGCAGGGTCAGACCTTGAAAGCCCCAGCGCAGTGCCTGGCCCACCCAATGGCGTCGTGGGTGGGTCTGCCGAAAGAAGAAACTAGCAGTGGACCAGACAGCAGCGGGCAGTCACTGCAGGGCGGCCAGCCAGCACCCCAGAGACGGCGCAGACCAGAGGGCGGGTGGCCCGGGGCAGGGACGGGCGGTCCCCTCCCCCTCCCGCCCTCAGCCCTGCCTCCCAACTCCCTACTTCGTGGGTGTGCACAGTGAGCGACCACTCTCCTCGCCTCTCCGCCGCCCAGTTTCTCCATGCTGTGTCCTGGGTTCTCCACTTCCCAGAGTTCTCCCCTTCATCTTAGGGGACCTAGCCAAACCAGGGGGGACTGGATCCCAACGGGTGCAGCAACCGACCAGGTGAGCCCTGAAAGGTGGGGCGGGGCAGGGGCTCTCGGGCCCCACCCCGGGATCCGGTGACGCCGGGGCTGGAATTTGACACCGGACGGCGGCAGGCATGAGGCTGCTGAGGGATGGAGTTGGGCCCGGCCCCCAGACACGGCCCACGGGCTCCGCCAGCAGCAGGTCCCTCAAGCCCAAGCCCTTGCTGCATCCGGACCCAGAGCCCTGCACCCAAGGTAGGCCGACCTGTTGGCCCAGCCCTCTTCCCAGCCCTGGGACTAGGGGAGCAAGCAAGAGAGCCCCCACCACTTTCTCACGTCCTCCCTCCCCTGGGCTCACTGCACCGCTCTCCACCCCTCCCACCCCCTCTGTCCCTCTGGTCGCTTGTCGGACTGTGCTAGCCCCGCTGGCCCACTGTGACGTGAGGTTCCCGCTGCTGCCACAGGGCACAGACTGGCTGCCAAGGCCACACTCCTGGTGAAAAGAAGCACTGCCAGGTGCACAGCCCTGGGCATGAGCCTTGTGAGCTGCAGGGAAGAGTCCAGCACTGGCCCCAAGGAAGGTGCCTAGAAGAACACAGCGCAGGCCCCCCGTGGTGAGTATCTGGCTGGCAGATGGGGAGGCAGGGACCAAGGACCAAGTGTTCCCAGACCACCAGGAGCCTAGGTGCCCTCAAGAGACCTGCTCCTGGGGACCCCCTAGCACAGGGGGTTCTGAAAGCTGCCTTGCCTGGCTTTCCCACCATCGGCGAGAACAGTCGCTGGCGTGGCCTTGCAGTGCTCCAATTTAGTTAGTTGAACACAGCTGGCCCTGAGATGGGCCACGCTGGGGAGGCCTGCAGAGGTCTGACCCACAGGTCTGCAGACATTCTGTGTGCTGGGGGTTGGGGGTGCAGGTGACAGTTGGGACCCAAGAGCAGGCTAGCTAGTGAGGGCTCATGAGGTCTCCGCGGCGGCCCCAGAGGGTGTTTGGGAATGCCAGCCAGTGAGGGCACACAAAACCTGGTGGGGTTCCGAAAGGCTGGCAGGGCTCTGGAAGGATGGCTCATAGGGGAACTTCCAGGAGCGGGGCCACGCTGTCAGATCCACAGGGAGGTGGAAGGGGAACAGCTCTCAGGTGGCTCAGCTCTCAGACTAGGCTGGTGTGGAGGCTTGGCTGGCCCTCCTGAAAGTTGCTCAGGCCTGAGTCTGGCTGAGGGTAGGGAAAAGCCCACCCCCTCTTTGAGTCTGCGTGCTTGGCAGACGCTGCCCCCTGGTGGCCAAAGGGAGCCACGGCCCCCGGGCCCCATGTTCTTGAGGGCCCATCAGGTCCCACCACCTGCTGGCTCTTTGGGGCTATCAGTGATCAGAAGAGAGAATTCAGGTGGGTAGAGGGGTGGCGAGGACTGGAGAACCAAGTGGCCCAGACCACCAGGAGCCTAACTGCCCTCAAGATTAAAGATCACAGAGGAGCAAGGCTCAGCGGCACAGGGTGGGCAGCGCAGGCTGAAGCCTGGACCTCGCTGTCAACAGCAGTTCTTCAGGCCACAGCTTCCTCCTGTATGGCATGGAGGCAAAGCTGTCTGTGGGACTAGGGGCTCCAGCTACTCTCTCCTCCAGCCAGTCCTGGCTGCTCCAGCCCTGCAGCACAAAGCAGGGAGATCCTGGAGGGGGAGACTGTTTTCAAACACCCCTTTCCCCCCAGCTGTGTGGGTCTAGCCTTGTGAGCTTAGGCAGTCACCAAGCTGCTCTGAGCCTCGTTTGCCCATTTGGAAAATGGGGATTACACCACTCACCTCGTGGAGAGGTGAGGACGGAGAGGGAGAACAGGGGCAACACACCAACACACCGTTAACCTCCTGATGCAGCTAGTCCTCCTGGGTTGAGTCCACCTACCAAACCCCTTGTTCCTCACCTGGAGATACTGACGGGGAGGGATGACCTTCTCAAAGGGTACCCCATTTCTCAGTGTTCCGGGCTGCCTCAAGAGTAGGGTGGGGCGACAGGTCAACCGGGCTGATGGGAGATCCTGGTATTGACAGAGATGGAGCAAGGACGTGGAGGCCCTTCTGTGCTGCCCCGCTGGCCCCTGCCTAGGCGGCAGGTGAGTGGTTTTCCTAGTGATTCCCACCTGGTATTGAGGAAAAGTGGCTTGACTGGGGAGGGAGAGCAGGGTTTGCCCTGGGTAGGCATCAGAAGTGAAAAGGTCAGGGAGGGACCAGGAGTCTGGAGGAGGGTCAGTGCCCTCAGGTGACTTCTCCACTTGGCCCCCTTAGGCAGCAAACCCATTATCCTCCAACCTAAACCTTTCCTGAGCGCCCCCACCCAACTAGAAGCCATCCTCTCTGATCTCTGCTGCCCCTGCCCTCCCCTGGGCTCCCGCACCCGGAGACCACCGGGATGCCCTCTTCCTCCCTGAGGCTCCACTTTGTCTCTCTGCACAGCCTGCCCTGTGGCCAACCCTGGCTATTCTGGTTCTGCTGAGCAGTGTCGCTGAGGCCTCTCTGGGCCTCGCACCCCGCAGCCCTGCCACTCGTGAAGGCCCCGCACCAGCCCCGGCGCCCCCCGTGGGCCACCTGCCAGGTAAGTGAGAGGGCAAAGGGACTGGGTGTCACGAGGCTGGGCCGGGACCCAGCGTATACCTCCATCTCATTCTAGGTGGCCGCCCTTTCCGTTCCTGCAGCGGAAGGCGGCCGGCCCCTCAACCTCCCCGGCCAGCGCCCCCTCCATCTGCACCCGCTCCGGTTCCTTCCCGTGGGGGCCGCGCAGCGCGGGCTTGGGGCCGAAGTGGCAGTGCGCGGGCCGTGGGGGCGCGGAGCTGCCGCCTGCGCTCGCAGTTGGTTCCTGTGCACGCACTCGGCCTGGGCCACAGCTCCGACGAACTAGTGCATTTCCGCTTCTGCAGCGGCTCTTGCCGCAGGGAGCGCTCCGCGCACGACCTCAGCTTGGCCAAGCTGCTGGGTGCTGGGGCCTTACGGTTGCTCGCGGGCTCTCAGCCGGTCAGCCAGCCCTGCTGCCGACCCACGCGTTATGAGGCTGTCTCCTTTATGGATGTCAACAGCACCTGGAGGACTGTGGACCGGCTCTCAGCCACTGCCTGCGGCTGCCTGGGCTGAAAACTCTCTCCAAGGACTTGCAGATGGTACCCTTACTCGGGAATCTTCCTGACTGGAAGGGGCCAGGGGCCTCAACCAGAGATGGACATCACAGGCCTCAGCTGAGCAAGTGATGAGCATGAGCCCTGGAAAGATGGGGGATGACTGACCACAGTCCTCATCCTGCGAGTCCCAGCCCTGCAGACCCCAGAGACCTGGCTACAGAGACCTGGGACCCGGCTCACAGACGCTGGCAGGGGCTGGGCCCAAGACCCACGACTCCTCCTCTGGAGAAGCTAGCCATCTCTGAGGTCTACGCCTCAGCCCAGGCCCCGGGGACAGAATTGGAGGAGAAGCATTGCAATCACATTGCTGAAGTGAGCAGCCTGGTACTCACTCCTGGGAACTGGACCCCTATTTATTATTTCTAAGTTATTTATTTACTTCTGTGGTTTGTCAGATCCTTTCCTGGGCAGTGGGGACTGGATGGGGAGACTCACTGGCGAGAGATCACGCCCTGACCATCCTACTCACAACTGCAGGCTGACTCAGCAGTTGCAGGCCTGTCCTGGATTGCCAACTGCCTCCTCCACCTAGCAGCTCAGGGACTTTGGGTCAGTGGAGGGGGGCAGGCATGGAACACAGAGTGGGGGCAAAGGTTTGTTCACCAATCCTGGCAGGCCAGCTTACAGCCCCCTGCATAGTCTCCAGCACTTGGAGCTTGGGGTTTCTGGTGGAGAAAGCCCTGCCCTTGGGGCCTCGGGCATCCTGGGGATCTCGCTTAATGGGTGAAAAGCACAGACTGCTCCACGCCAGTCATCGATTGGCGTATTCACTGCCTCCGCTTGCAGATGGCCCAGTATGGGGAGCTCACTACCCACAGAGCATGAAGCAGCTCAGGACAAGAGAGCATCTGAAAAGGCCAGTGGGAGGTTGGCTTGGTGCAGGGGCGGGGGAGGCGGAACACAGAGCAGGAAAGGGCTGAGAAGGCAGGGAAAGGTTGAGGGCCCCGAGAGGGACCTGCTTCTGGGGTGATGACCAAGAATATGCATTTATGCATTCAACACTTATTTACTTAATACCTCTTATATGTCAGATAGTGGGTAGACCTCAGGAATACAGAAGTGAAGGGACATGGTCTCTGCCCTTAACATTAAACTAGGAGAAACGGACATTAAATAATTACATAAGTAACTTTAAATTCAACTTGGCACATGGTACAAAAAAGGACGAAAGGCCAACAGTCACACACACTCGTCTGGGAGGGAGAAGAGGCTGGTGCTGACCCTGGCTTCCCACACTGCCCGCGTCGCCTCCCGAAGGTCAGCGCTGGCTCTGCCAGCGTTTCCGCAGGGACCCTGAATGAAGCCTTATGTCCTGGGTCCTGTGAATGTGCCCTACACGCTTTTCTTCTGTGGATGTTCTTCCGTGTTTGGAAAGAATGCCGAGTCTGAAAACCACAAGGCACCCAGAGGGTCTCCCTGGAGGCAGTGGGACATGCTGGCCTGGAGCTGGGGAGGGCAGTTTGGGCTGGAGAAGCATTTGGCTTCTCCCCGCCTGGGCAGAGTCAGCAGCTGCAGCCGGGGTGCATGAGAGCACCGTGAGAGGGAGGTGGGGTCAGGAGGGGCCTTTCGGGCATGTGACACTGCTGCCCAGGGTTCCCCCAAAACCGCCAAAGTGCCTGCCTGCTTTGGCACATACGCCCCTTTGGCACAGGCCAGCGTGAGGGGCTGGCAAGAGTCCTCTGAGGGCTGTGTTCGCTCTGGGTCCAAGAGGAGAAACAAGCCTGTGCTTCCCCTCTTCAGGGTTCACTGCCTCGATTCTAGGTGCTCCCCAAACTCTGGTGCTCTCCTGCTCCCCTCGAACACCCCTTTGGCTCCTCTCTCTGCCTCCGAACTGATGCAGGGCCCCCGGTCTCCAATCACCCCCACCCTCCGCAAAGAAAACGGTACCAGTGCGGCACAGTTCGCACACACCTCAGAAAGGCCTGGCCTGGCCCTGGTCGAAGGTAAAAGGAGACAGAACCTGTTAATCCCAGGGCCTCTGGAGCCAGGGAGCCCCTGCTGGGAAGTCTTGGTAGCAGCCTAGTTCCTGAACCTTCCAACCCCCACCCCTCAGTGGTATTTCTGCTCTCAGAACCTCTCAAGGCACCAGAGGGAAGCCATGTCAGTGCTCACAGCCAGAGAGGCGGGTCGGGCCTCCAGTCAAAGGTTCTGGCTCTCAACCCCCCCCCCAAACTGCCAGTTTTTCAGGGGGTAGGTCCCTGCAACTCAAGGCCACATTCTGGGCCCTAGGGAGCCGGTGGCCAACATCTCACAGAGCCCCAGCTGCCTGGCAGTTTCTACAGGAACCAGTCCAGGCCACAGCTCACAAAAACCAAGTCCCTCTTAAAATAATAATAATAATAATAATAATAAAGCAATTTTCCCCAAAGGAAACAAGAGCTGAACTTCCCTGCCTACAACTTAGCAGAGATCACCCAGCCAGGACCTGGTCAGGCAGAGCGCCTTCACCTCTGGGGCCGCAGTGGCTCCGGAATCTGTACTGACGATTGCGGCCTCTGTTTCACATTTACAAGCCCACGCTGCCTACCCGAGTGCTCTTCCCCGAACAGTGGCCTGGTCTGCGCCAAAGGGGCGTCCAACCACCACCTTTTGTAAGCCAGAAAACTACAGGTGGCTTTGAATTGGCCGTTTTTCCACTTCAGAGAGTGCCCAAAACTTTCCTCCACGTTCGTTTCATCCAAGAATCAAGGCACAGGGTCCCATGGGCTCCTGCTGCCCTTCCGACCGCTTTCCTCCTCTCTCGTCCAGGGATTTCCACATTTCCCTTCACTGAGCCCCTGTGATGCCTCGTGTGCGGACAGGCCAAGTGAGGTCTCACCTCGAAAAGGATAGGATGGGTGGAGAGCGGGGAGACCAGAGAAGAGCTCTAGGGGGGTCGAGCCGTATGGGATCATCTTTCCCGCTCACGGGAGTGCTTCTGAACCTGTGTGGAGTTGGAGAGTTCTTAGAGAGCATGACGAAAGCCAGGGATACTTGCCGACAGCCCCCCTGCCCCTGCGCAAAAGAAAAGCTTGAAAACCACTGATATGTAAATGTGGTAAACAACTGTAGGGGGTTCACAGACACTGAAGCTTGTTCAGATTCCTTTGGAGTCCATGACCCCCAGGTACAGTGCCCCGTTTTAGATGCTATTATTCATGCCCACCTGTAGCTAGATTAACTCCGCTGTCTGTTCTCAGGACTCCATGGCAGGGCTCTGGGTCTCAGCTATTTACACGCCTCCCCATTCTTCAGCCTTTTTAAAAACTGAGTATCTCCCTTCCCTCTGCATTTACACTTGATCAAATATTTTGTTTACAGCATTAAACAAAATTGACACTGTGGATACAAATAGACGTGCGTGTGTGTGTGTGTGTGTGTGTGTGTGTATTTCCTCCCACCTCTTCTCCTTCACCAAAACAGCTCTTGCCGAGGTCACCAGCGACATCGTCATTACTAAACCCAAAGGCCACTTCTCAGCCTTGACCTTTGAACTCTCAGGAGCACTCAGACTTGTCAGCCCCCCTTGAAAGCCTGTCTTCCAGTCACTATCCTGACCCCACACTTTCTTGCGTTTCCTCCCCCAGCTGCCCATTCTCAGACTACTTCGTTTCCACTCCGCCTCTCCACTGTTCCTCAAGGCGCTGACACAGGCCTTCTCCCCCTCCCACTCTGCTCTCCTCCAGCGAGGCAGGCTATCCCACAGTTTCAGCTACCACTTCCGTGCCTGTGATGGTCACATTGTATCTCCAGACTGGAGCTTTCTCCTGAGCTGAAGCGCTCAGTGTATTTCCAGTACTTCTCTCTGAATACACTCTGCAACCTCAAACTCAACATATCCATCCTGGCGACCTTCTGTTTGCTCCTTCATCCAGTCTCCATGCCTCTTCGTCCTGCTCTGAGACTCATCAATCATCTTCCCTGATCTCTAGTTTCCAAACCTCCTCCCTCCAGTGCTCCCCCGTGTGAAGGGCGTCAACCTCCACCCAGGAACACAAGCCAGACACGTGGGCAACATCCTGGGCTCCTTGAGCTCGGTCACTTCCCTTATCCATTGGTCTTCAGAGCTTTAGCTCTTTCAAGTCCACCCCCTATTCCGTTGCAGCCTTTATGTTTTGGGGGATGGTTTATTGCTTATTCTCCTGGCCGCTCTCTTCGTCTCCGGTCTCAGCGCCCCCCAGTCCTTCTCAACCCTGCAGCCAGAGAAGTCACTATTCTCTCAACACCGACTGAGCGCCAACAGGAAGGCATCGGGCTAGTTATGGGAATTCGGAGCTCAGCTGGAAACACTTCCCACCATCAAGGAGACCAGAGTTGCCAGTGGAGGTGGGGGAAGGGTGCCAGGTTTAGCAAATAAAAAGATAGGACATCCAGTTAAACTTGGATTTTAGACAAACAATACATACTTTTTAAAGTAAGCGTGCCTCATGCAATAATTGGGCAGTGTTCAAGTTCAAACAGGACACCAATACCGGGTGTCCTGTGTTTTGTCGGGCAACCCTAGGTGGGGGTAAACAAGTAAACAGAAACGCAATTTGCCACCTGAGACCCCAGCGGAAGTATGACTGGGACACGGTGGTGTATGTCGGGGTCGGGGAGGGTTTTACACACAAAGGGAGAGGAATCCATCCCACCTGAGTGGAAGGCGAAGAAGAGCCACTTGAACGAAGCCTTGAAAAATGAAAAATTTGCACAGGGTGGATGAGGGGCAGTGGGCCCGTTCTGGTTTTCCTTTACCACCTTCGCCACCTTTCAGTTCTAAATTCACCCTTTTCACTGACCACCCCCTATCCGCCCAGGTCTGTGTCTCAGCCGCGGGCAGGGATGGTGGGCGAGGGCCTCTTCCTGGGCTTTTCCATCTCAGCCCTAGGTCGCTGCTGCTCCTCAATTCATTAGCATTCTCTTCACGTCTCACCAGCCAATCCGTCTTCACTTCAGCCCCCTAATTTGGAATTAGTTCCAAACTCTTGTGTCACACACCGTGTGACCCACAGTGACCCTGGTGTGCCCACTGTGCCGCTCCTCCTGAGGGGCCCCAGCTGGACACACAGTCTGCTCAGTAGTGGCAGTAACATGAACAAAGGCAGGGGGGGAAGTATGAAGCAGCCTGGGGTGTCCCAGGAGAGCCAGCAACTTTACAGAATCGGGGCAGGGGTCTCAGCAACACAAAGGCGAGATGATGAATGTCCTTGAATCCTATACAAAGGAGCTTGGACTTTGTCCTGGGAGAGCCTCAGGACAAAGAGCTTTAAGTGGGATTGGCTAGGGATGCATTTCAATGGGTCACTAGCTGCAGAGTCTGATTTGGACTAGAAGGGGCAAGGCAGCGGGCACAGTTAGGGCCGCTGCAATTAGGACTATTTAGGCAACAAATGCTCATCTCGACCCAGCGCAGAAGC